GTGTGCTAACATTGAACGTGGTTTTCTTATCAATATTATAGTGATTATATCTTCGTAATAATTTTAATGTGTTTTATTGCGAGTGTTTGGAGACATTTATAATTTTAATTTTAAATAAATAACTACATGTTCCAATTACAATTGACATGTAAACAAATAACTATTAAAGTACGTAATCTTTAGAACAAAAATTGGATACGAATCCATATGGAATATTAATACGCGTACCGGTATACATCGGTCGATGTGGTATATTCATAGATAATATATAATGGATAGGCCATCAGCCTTTCTTGATTATTTATTTATTTATACGGACAAAGTCCAATTTACAATATATAATAACAATAACAATAATAGTATATATAATAACATTTGATAATTAACACATTTAAAAAAATTCAATATAAGTTGGTAGTACAAGGAATAAAATAATAATACAAATTATAATGATTACATTGATACAAAACCTAAAAAAAAAAAAAGGAAAAAAAAGTGGGAGACAGAGTGGGATTATGTGGTACAATATAATATTAAAGAGAATTAAATAACAATCATACAATTACTTAAATAGTAAATTAAAAGTTTGTTTATTACCGCAAGACATCAAAATGATTAAAGGATCATTCAACATGTACTTCTGGGGGAAATGTGGTAGATAAAATAAATCTTTGTTGCGTAAGTTATGAGAATTGGTTTTAAAATTTATTAGATTAAGTAAAAATGCATCATCAATCTCATTGTTTATTAATTTTGTAAGAAAGGTGCTATATGTATTAATTCTACGTAATTTTAGAGATTCTAAGTGTAATATATTTAAAATTTGTTCATATCCTGAGTGGGGGGTTCTTGGTATATTAGATTTAATGCATATGAATCGAAGAACTTTGTTTTGAATTTTCTCAAGTTGATCACTATGGCCATTGCTGTTATTTACCCAAATTATAGGAGCATATTCAAGAATAGAGCGGATAAGTGACGTATATAGGCACTTGAACGTGAAAGGATTGTTAAATTGTGAGCAATTACGTTTTATCATACCAAATACTGATAGGGCTTTATTTTTAATAGCTTCTCCGTGCGTTCCCGAATGATAAGCTACGGGGTAATACATTTTTTATCCCACGAACAGATCTTTTTTCTTTTTTATTTAAATTTAAAACAAAATAATTATTTTAGTTTATTTTAGCCAGTAGGTGCTTTTATAATTGGTAAATGGAAATTAATAACGATAAGTCCATACTCCATAACTCCATAAAATTACATTTTTAATTGGATCAAAACGTASTATTTGCACCAAATAGTACATTTCGCTTAAACACAAATAGTATGTTTTTATCAAAATTCTTACAAAACGTTCTATTTACATAAATCAAATTTTATATTGAATATTATTTAAGATCATTTTAAGTTAAGAAGTTAAAATACTTTGACGCAACTTTAAGCCGCGGTCGCACGATGATAGTAAAACGCGATAGTTACTATCGTGAAAGCTGCTATCAAGAGAGTGTCATCGTGCGAACCGATCGATAGTGACTATCAAACTATCGCGAAAGCGACTCTCGTACTATCATGCGTGCATGATAGTGTGAGAGTAGATTTCACGATAGTGATAGTAATTATCATCGTGCGRACAGTCTACTATCATACTATTGTACTATTGTAGTGTCTATTCTGTGGTGTTAGTACATCTTTTTTTTTATTAAAATAAGAATTAAGATTTAAGAACGTATTTTATAATTTATACGAATAAAAATGTCTGATACATTCGACATCTTCAAGTTCCTGKAAGACTACCAGAGATTTCCATGTCTCTGGTTAAAAAGCGACCCAGATTTTAAATTACGGTACAAACGAGATGCAGCAGAACAACTTCTTTTGGAAGGTTCTGGCCTAGGAACAATAAAAAATCAACGACTAAAAATAAGAAGTATAAGGTAATTTAATAGTATTTATTTAATTAATATACTAATAATACGAGGTATA